GCAATTTCGACTCACTGAGTCTGACTCTTTTGAGTGGGTCAAAATTTTTGTTATGTATGAACTCCGGTCACAAAGATTCTTAGTCATAAAAAGTGTTAGTCACTATTAGAATGAAATAGTCTCATTTTATATTGATCAAAAGGAAATGCCAGATTGTTTGTACAAATCTATGTCCCTATTACATTAAAAGGGGGATGCCCGGCGTAGCCGGGCTTTACATAAGAAGGAGGAGAGCCCGGCGTTAGCTGGGCGATCCGACTGGTTGTGTACTATTGCACAAGGACGTAATTGTGTAAGACGCATGACTAATTGTGGGATGTGTCCAAAAACTTCTTCGTCAGCCTACCGAAGCGATTCCATTGGAGCCCATAAGCACGCCTGCTTCCATAAGAAGGAAAACATCCAACCATATAGTCTTCGGAACACATTCACATCCTCTGCTGGTCCTTATGAAAGGTGCTGGTGTGTTGGTTGGAGCTGTAATAGCATTCTTTCCGTTTTCCAGTGGGATTCCATTCGATTCCTAGAGTAGTGTTGGATAGACAGTCCTTGAATAACAGTAAAGTCTTACTTCACTCTTGTTCAAGGATCGCTCATGATACATCTAGGATTAGATGTATCGTGAGCGATCCTTGAATACGAGTGAAATAAGACTATACTTACTTTTATCACTCCCGTCTTCAAGACGAACCCCTTTATTCGACTTTGATCGGAAATCGGTGGTGTTTGAAGGCGTGTTTGGCTTACCGCAATTCAGTTGCCAGCCGATTTACAAGCTATTGACTCCGGTCCTCCCAGACAAGAGTGATACAGAAAAAATTTTGCTACCCAGCTTCTTTGGGAAAAGGTTTAGCCTTTTCCCAAAGAAGCTGGGTAGCAAAATTTTTCTGTATTCATTGTGTTCCGTGTGTTTCATTTAGCAGAACTTTCATTTAGCAGAAATGATGTATTATTAGTAGTTGAGGTCACTCACCTGCAGTCCTAGATGTATCGTGAGCGATGGAAAAGGCTGAGGTTGGATTAGAGGAGCGTGATGCAGTCGAAAATGCAGTAGAGTGCCGTTGAGTTGAGGTCGATGTAAAGAAGGGCGGTCTAGTTGGGGTTTCAGTATATGGGCGCGATGAAGAAGAGGTTGTGAAGAAGGGCGATTCAGTTGAGGTTTCAGTATATGGGCGTGATGAAGATGAGGTTGTGAAGAAGGGCGGTCTAGTTGAGGTTTCAGTATATGGGCGTGATGAAGATGAGGTTGATGTAGTGTGATGCAGTGAAGTTGTCGCAGTTGAAAAATCTGGAATTTCTTATTTATCTGGGGCCACTTTGAACTTCCAGTTTTGTTCTCGAGTTCTCGAGTCATAGTTTTCCCTCGTGTAGACAGTCCTTGCCTTTTATCAGAATTGCTATTGACTACAATTATATAGGATAGTTCGAGTACGGGGTCGATAAAGTTGAGAAATGTGCTTGTACTGTTGAAAAGTTTGTGGGTGCTTCTTATTTTCGAATTTCTAGCTTAATGGTAGGTCACATTGTTGGAGCTCTGCTGTAACTACGGCTACCGAATAGCATCGCTGTTTTCTCCCACATCTCAAATAGTTGCATCCCGAGACCGTACCTATAACTCGAGAGAAAGAGGGCCCACAGAAGGTCTACTGTTCGAACAAAACACCTTCCCAGTGCTCGCGAACCTTACTCTTCACACTTATATTTAATTACTCTTCCTAATTCGTCTTAGAAAGGAGGCACAGCTCTGTTTCGCTTACCACAAACGGAACGGCTAACATGGTCAGCAGTTTGATCGGTGACGCTCATTGAGTTTACGGTGATATGTCTCTTCTGAAAGAAAGCCGGTTACAGAGAACATGTTTCTTTTCCCGGAAAGCTTCTTACCTCAATGTTAGACCAGTTGCTGAATGACGAGTTACCCATGTTGATGACCGTTGTGGAAAACTTTTTCACTATCCCTCTACTGATTTTGTCTTCTAATAGTTTGTATGCAGCATCCACGTCTTTCTGGTCACTGTGCGTTTAATCTTCAGTATAGGTTTTGCTTTATTGTAAGGGTAGGTGTAGACATTAGGTAAATAGTGAATAGCTTTACGAAAGCTTCTCATTATATTAAAGCGAATTTTGATTTGGGACTTTTCTAGCGGTGAGGTAATACTGTGTGTGGGTCAAAATATAATTTGTATGCAGCTTAGTAAGTGAGAAAAAAAGAATAATGCATTCAATGGTCTTTAAACTTCATTTGTGCTCTAAAGCTTGAAAGCTGACTCAGGTATGGCGCTTTACTGATTGCGAGATTAAACCACGTCTCTTATCTTGCAAATCAATTCTTGTTGAGGATCATCAAGCTACAGGGCTAATTTCCATGAATCGCGTCGAAGGTAAGCAAATGAGATACAAATTAGCGTATCAGGGTGTCTCAAAAATTTATAAAGTTTTCGTGCAGCATTACATTTTCCTACAGTGGCGGGAGAATACTGTCTGAAATTTAAGAAAAGAAATTCTGAAACACCCTAATAATACTTTGTTTCGCAATTCGATAATGTTTTTGTGACTTGTGGGATCTCTACACTACTCCTTAACAAATTAATTCCTACCTCTTTATCAGAATGATAAGCAGAGATACATGCACTTTCGATGATTAATTTTCAATGTTTTTGTCTCTCATCCTCGTGAAGAACGTTATATACTGGTGTATGTATCTTGCATATTATTGCAGTACCAGGCGGCTACGCACGCAATCGCGTTCGTTGGGGGCTCTAGCCATAAGGGGCTTAGCCACTACAGCTTCTGATTTTTATTGTAAACCTTTATCAACTGAGCCTGTTCTTTGACACTTCTGCAGTGGCCATAATTTTTTTTGGGATGTGAAATGGGACTATGTGTGGCCATAAGGAGTACTCGTATGTATCCGAATCAAATACCTCTGCAGTCCATGTAGTCGAAGAAACTGTGTAGTTTGGGCTGTGTGGCCATAAATAATAATTAATTCGAAAGAACAGCCCCTTCGGTTAGTTGTAGGGATTTACACTTCTCTACAGGGTATGCACCTGTGAGGCCGGGGTTATTGTAGAATTTTTTATGAGGTCTGAAGTTAATGTAAAGTATTTGCTCTTGCGTAGAAGGGTCTACTGTGTGTGGAACCATGGATACTAACTTTTAGAAAATTTCTAGCCTAGTTTCTGAAAGT